AGTATTGTGCAACCTTTGCAAAACCACTGAGGAACATCACCTGTGTCCATGAGAGAATTGAAACAGTGAAGTAATGGTGTTTGGACACAGGGAAATAGTTTCCAGTACTGGTGTAGCAGGCCATTTCTTCCCCTGTCTAAACTTTCCCCGGGGAGAATCTGCTCTAGGCCAAACTTTCCCCGGGGAGGTTTTGTCCTAGGATATTCTTACCCCAGGAAAGTGTGGGCTAGGCTAAAGCTTTCCTCCCTGTTTAAACTAGGATATTCTGTTCTGTTTTCTATGAAAAGGGGGGAGATTCTGGCCTAGCTATGCCACTTCTTCCCCACCCTTGCTCTTATAAACCGACAGTAGGTTTGACTTATATTTTGATACACATTTTTGCTAAAATAGTCCATTTTTGCCTCTGACTTGGGTGTAGTGATTTGAATGCATACATGTTTGAACGGCATATATCTCTAAATCCATCCTGCTCCTGCCGCCATTCCTATGAAGACACATTGCATTAGTTCTTCATCTGTCCACCATAAGATGTAAACATTCAATCGCACATTTGATGGGTAAATAAGATGTAATATACACAGGTTGCTTGCTCTCTTATCATGCTGTTTATTATCTAATATTTGTTGTATTTATGTGTAAATGTAATGGAACATTATTCACATAAGCTTGTTTACTAATCAATAATCACTTTGGGTGAATGAAATATGTTTCAGATATCCATGGGCCAAGTATACCCCTTATCAAACCTTGTCTTTTGAATATAGAATACGTCACTATAGTGGAATGATATATACAGCATTTGATATAGATATTGTGTTGGATTGTTGTTGTTGTGTTGATGTTTACATCTGCTTCCAACTGTTAAGTTGATGTCGCCGACATGGATGCCATATTTAAAGCCATGAGTGAGGGAATATAATTTTGAATGGATATGGACATCCAAGTAAAAACTGGGTATTTAGTTAAAATTGTGAATAAAGTAATGATTTTGACGTAAGCCAATTTTGGGGATAAGTAAATTATTGAAATATAAAAATATGTAAATGATAATATAAAACAATAGTAATGATATAATATCTTTGCTTTTATGCTTGCTTTTCTTTTTAATCTCACCTTATAGAAGGGTATTGAAACAAAATGGGAACCATGTACATGTTATATATGAAGATGAAATGACCTGTAAATTGTTAATGGAACTTGACATCAACATGAATATCTTATCAATGTGTTCACGTGAATAGCTATGTCTTGTTTTCGTTTCTGACTTTTTCAATACGAACCTAAACAAGAAAACAAGGTTGGGGAAAAAATAGCCCAGCTAGGCCAGAATCTCCCCCTTTTGATATAAGAACAAGGATGGGAAACAAGTAGCCTTTAAAGTTGATTCAAGGGTGGGGAAAGTTTGGCCTAGGACAAACTTTCCCCGGGGAAGATTAAGCCTATGGGGGGGGAAGGTTGGCTTAGGCTAAAGTTTCCCCCGGGAAAGTTTGTCCTAGGCCAAAGTTTCCCCGGGGAAGGTTTCGATTGCCATCAGGCCCTGGAGCTATATTAGATTTGGACATTTTTATAACACTTGACCTATATAAACAAATGACCTAGTTACTTTCTCATGCATTGCATGGTCATAATCACGGACCCATGGTGCCTCAAGGTTAAAGTCGCCGGGTACAGACCACAACTTATTCCAGAACCTCTCATTGGCATCCACGGGAGGCCGCTTATCATGCTCACCAACACCGTTTGTTTTAAGTTGCCTGTAGAAGTGTTTTTCATTATTTCTAAAAAGTTTATTTTGCTTGATGAATTTATTTTTATTTTCCCATTTTTTCTTTCTTTCGGTCCAAACCTTTATTTTGGCCTTAAGGGAATCGACAATTTGGAGAAGTATCTTTTCTTTGGTTGTCTTATACTGTAATTTTAATTTTCTCTAGATTGACTTTTGTTGTTTAGACATGAGATTCCCTGATGTTCTTATTTTAAGGCACAGCTCTATCCAGGAAATGTATTTTCTAGTTTCCGTCAGTTTTACTTGAAACTGTTTTTTCTTTGGTGTGATGTCCTAGTATTAGATGATTTTTCTTTGGAAACCGTGTGAAGTTCCTCCAAGGTTCGAGCGGCAGCATAGACACAGCAATTAACTTCATGTAATGAACAGTCCGCAGAAAGTTTCATAGAAATAATGTCATTTAATAAATAATTTCATTTTTGGGAAAAGATCCACTTGTTTGTTTGATTGGTCTCCGTTTTTCGAAAGGTATGTCAGATATTTCATGATAAATAGAATGAAACAAAATATACACAGGATTTTCAGAAAGAACTGAGGAAGAGGAAGAGCGAGGGTCCGAAATTTCGGGGCCAATTGGTTCTGTACCAGAAGAGTTTCCACCAGGAAGACGAAAGAGGTTATGCGGACGTCCATCGGAGGTTTTGGGGTCTGCTGCCACTTGAGCATTCTGCTCATGCAAAGGTTCCTGACGGGCTCCAGTTATGGGTTGAACTGGCTCACGGGGCATGAGATTTTTAAGCCGCCGGAATTGATCTCGGAGATTTTGCTCCGTCAGGAAAGCATACATGGGCATGGCATTGTCCCAATGCAGCTTAAGCGACTTGCCATTCAGGCGTTGATTTACAGGCCATCCTGTCGCTCTCACACACTCAAATAGTGTGGTGTTAAGATGGTTTGACCAAGATATTCTTGGTGGAGTTATTAATATTATTACTATTATTAGCGTGGGTTCACACTCGGGACATTCAGCCACATTCTAGTCTGGTTTTTGATTTGATGGTTAGGATTATGTCTGCTGCGTGGAGGGAACAGCGACCTGATCAGCAATCTGGGGAGACCCTGGATGTTTGGCCCCAAGCCTTACCTTCGAGCTGTAGGGGACGTGGGGTAGCCTAGTGGCTAAAGCGTTGGCTCATCACGCCAAAGACGCGGGTTCGAATCCCCACATGGGTACAATGTGTGAAGCCCATTTCTGGTGTCCCCTGCCGTGATGTTGCTGGAATATTGCTAAAAGCGGCGTAAAACCAAACTCAGTCAGTCAGTCGGTACCTCCGAGCTCACAGTCATTTTTACTGGAATGAGTCATACCGCCACACCCTCCCCGGCATACTCCGAAGACCTGTCTACTCAGAGGTAGTATAGGCTTTGTGGACTCATCACTCATACTTGCCTGTATTGTAGACAACAATAAGCTGTCCTTGAGCAAGTCACCCATAGATTTGTTGTCCACCTTCTATATGAAGGAGCTGGACTGGACCATTCACTTATCGACATTCAACGAACCTCTTTGTCTCGTCCACTGCATCTTAACTTTTGAACTTCACATCGGTTTGGCGATCCCGCTCATCTCTACCTATTTTGTCACAGGCTACTAGAGCGACATGCTGCCGAACCTACCTGTCTCTTGAGATCATTCCCCAGATACACAACTTCACCTTGACATGGACTTTAACTTGATGGTGTGAGCGATAGCAAGAGTAGACCTGCTTTGCTAACCATGATCGAATCCTTACCTAGTCAACGAGATCATCTGTGATTTTTCTACCAAAATGGAGCAAAATACTCAGTTCCAAGTATAGGTCAAACTTCTTAAACTACTGAAGAGGCAAGTACTAGAATCTGTACCTCACAGCCGCTTTGTGCTGTATGTTTTGATGAATCCCAAGATTTTGACCCAGAACAAGAAAACAACTCAGATCCACATCCCATGGCAGAGGTACGCAGAACCCGGGTGCAGCTTGTGGAGCTGTATCTGATAAGGTATGACTGTTCGCGCGACCTTCCACCCCCCGTCATCCCGATTAAAGATTCCCCAGTTGGTGGAAGAATTGGTACATATGCTCGCAACCAGACCCTTTTGTAAGACAACCATCATTGTATCTCACTCAGGTCAGGCAACAAACTACCGATCATAGGATCTCCACTGCTGACGAGCGTTCCGGATTGGGAAACCTACCCCTCAGCACAGATACTAGCTTCACTGACCACTACTAATAGGGGTCTCACCGAGGCATCATGTTTGAGGTTTACATCGACAGATGTATACAAGCTCAAACAGATCCTCCTACAACATCCACAATTCACCAGCTAGAGTAGATTCTCAACAACAAGAAATCAGAGCTGATTCCAACATCATATGAGTGCTCTCAGTCTAACATCTATTGCATCTAATATCATGGAGATCAGCCTAACGATACACCGGTGGCATCATACAGGGAGTTGACTGGAGTAGTTCTTTGGAACTCAGAAGACAATCACAGAGTGGTAGATACACCCACAGATCTTTAAGACCTGGTTTCCTACCAGGTTCAACAATCAATTACCCATGTTCGTGTCACCAATCCTGGACACACTAGTGTGGGGGAAAGACATTCTAGTGATCCCACCACGGGCGCTTCTAACACAAGTACTATAGAAACTACAATCCAACAAGAAGATAAAACTGCTTTTGGTCGCACCCTATTGGAAGTTGTTTGGTCGAGTTCGGAGTTAGTATATCGGGAGTTGTTGCTTTCTCTAGCCATCACAAATTACTTGTAGCTCCAAGACGAGAATGAAAGTAGTGGGATGTCACGTGACCATCTGAGTGCTTAGCACGCTTTACAAAGATGATTGACAGGTCCAGCCATCGAAGTAGGGGGAGAGGTCAGGTGAGACCAGAAGACAGAGTCCAGAAGATTTGATTCAACTTAGCTTACAGCACATTTCCACGTCTTGGTCGAAGAAGAGAGAGAAGTGCATACCATGAGATAGGATAAGTTTAAATATTATACAATATATAGTTAAAATGTTCAATTTTCAAACCAATTAACATCAGTAAAAATACTGCTTTCATTGTTACATATGACCACAACAGGCAGAATAATTAATATTCATGTACTGGAAGTATGTACCACCCCTTTATTCAACAAATTATGCTGAAATGTCTCTTGTTGTCTCAATACAATCCACATGAACACTTTATTCAGGAACCAGTGGTCTCTCTAGATCTTACCTTCTTTATCTTTTTTATTTCATCTGTTTCTTCATTAACTTGATGATTTGTGCCAATTTCCTTATGAAATTTCTGTAACTGAAAATAAACACAATAAGACATTCATAACCATACACTGAGTGGTCAACATCACAACACATTTACATCACAACAAATATTGGGAGAAATTCTGAAGGGATAAAGAACCTTGGGAGTTCCAAGGTTATGTATCTGTTAACTCATTAAGGCCAAGAGACGCATATATGGGGCAAATTAATCAGCTCCTCACAGCTAGTGACGTGTTTATGGGGCAGGCAATTGGCAGTTTCTCACAGCGAGAGCCACATATATTCGTCCACAGAAAGCGCCTCTTATTCAACCGCCTCCTTTGTGTAGTGGTTAGAGCGTCCGCCCGGAGAGCAGAAGGTCATGGGTTCTATCCCTGACCGCTTCATACCAAAAGACGTTAAAATATGGTACTTGTTGGCCCTGCCTGGCGCTCGACATTAATGGGTACAACAAGGACTGGTCGGCTCAGAGTCAGTATAATGTGTCTGAGTGGGGTATTCATGCTTCACTGCGGCATGGTATCTCAGTGGGCTAGCACTATAAAACCAGCTTCAGTCTGGGCTAGTACAAGCAGCCACACATACACATACACGCGCATGCACGTCGTCATATGAGCGAAATATTCTCAAGTACGACATTAAACCCAATTTCACCTCACCTCACCTCTTATTCAGCAAGAGACGCACATGTGTGTTGTACTTTTAAAAATCACACTGTACCTATTATTTCAACCAATTTAGTAGTACTGAGCAAATATTAGCTTTTCTTACGAGAGATGCAACCTTTTGTATCAATCAGAAAAAGTATTTGAATTGTTTTGATAACAATAGCTAATCATTATCATAAGCTTGTACAGCGTTTGGCAAATGAACACATGTTGGCCAGAAAGGGGATTATGATGTTTTTACAGAGGTAAGTGTCTGGTACTCTTCATTGGGAATGGATACTAAAATACTTCATATGCACATTGATTGAATTAGATGTAATGGTTTAGAGGTTACTGAAGATTATATTTTCTTCAACTTCCTAATAAATAGGAAACAATGTACAAAATTTCAAGGACATACAAAGAATTCAAACACAAAAGAATAGTTTGAATTTACTTTGTAGGTATTATTACGTTGTCATGTTTCATATAATGAAACATAATGTATAAACACACATAATCATACATCCAAGCCCAAATAGATTAGACATAATTTAACTTACTAATTTGAAGCTTACTGAATCGTAACTAGTTATTTTCCATAATCTAAAGTTGATAATGTTACCTAATCAAATATAACGTGATAAGTCGCACCTTTGCATCGACTATATATACATGTCAGTGTTATTACAACAATGAAATCTTTTACAACATTTGTGACAAAACACAGTAAGTTGGTAATTAAAAAAATTCTCACACATAAACAGAAGTAATATCATAAGTTATTACATGTAAACCATACAAAGGTATTTCAAGCATTTTTGTTCAAGCTGTTGAAAGTTTCATGTTGATTTGAATTGTCGGTTTTCTATGCAATTTACATGAGCATTCTGTAAAACGTTTGTATTTGATCTCTGTAATTATCAAATCCAGTGTAATTATCACATGTATCAATGAACTCAGTCTCTATTGATCAATTGTCAGTAAAAGCTGGATAGTATATCAGTTACGGTATCGATACACATGTGTATAATCATTCAATACGATTACAGTAATGAGATAATTGAACACCTCTTTCGACCTTGAAATAACAGCCTCCGGTAGAATGCATATGTAGTTACGCCCTTGTTGAAAGGTTTGTCCCGTGACAAGTGTAAAATAAACAGATGCGCTGTCATATCATTGGACAACTTGCTTTATGGAGTCACGCCCCTCTCTGTAATGTTTATGCATGCATGCACATCTGTAATCTTATGAACCTCGTTTGCATTCAGTATAAATATAGGCACGCCCACCTTCATAAATATTTAGGAGGGGGTTCAACTGCAAGGTTATACACTATAATAATTCAGTATAGTGTCACCTCGTGAATTCTGCAATACGTGTACTTTAGTTTGGATATTCATTCGTATCAAGGTGAAGATTATATTTGTAATATTTACAGCAAACCATTATATTTTATGTACTAGTTGTGTGCGTAAAATGTATATGAAAATAAATACTATTTCTACTCAATGGTTGGATTTCAATCGCTTTGTTTTACTTATCAAAACACACTAAAATGAGGACAAATAAACTCGCCAAAGTGACTATCTACTCCTATTTGTCTTATGTGTATATTTCATACATCGTTACCAGTGTGTATGTTTACAAGACACAAACTGTTACATGATAGCTTGAGTTGATAAAGCCGAAACCCAGCATATTGACTGGTCAACGATATAGCCAATAATCTATCTCTATCCAAGCTGTTGAGTGACCAAACGTGTACAAGCCGCCAAAGGTCTACAAGAGAAACTTGCAAATAAATTACATAAAACTTTGCAATACACGATATGTATTCACACCTGCTTTCTTTCAACATATATCTTTACGACACAATTAAACAATCAGGACTTGTTTGTACGACTAGACAGTTTCCTGTCATCCCTGAAACCTGCCAGGGAAATCAGGTGTGATTAGCACTAATTAGTCTCGGCACAGAGAGTGGGCAATCAGCGAGGGGTTCAAGGTGTTGAGTAGTGAGGTGACTCTCGGGCTTAATGAGTTGTGACATAAGTTGTTCACTGGTCTCGAGGGGGATATGGGCTGATGTACCCTCAATGTTTGTTTATGTTCGGCTCAGGGAACATTAAGAAACATCAAGGGTACATCCACCCATGGGCCCCGAGGGACCAGTGAACAACGTATTTATCCTACCGAAAACCTCTTAGTTTCATTTCAGGTATATGTCCCACATCTGATGACTAGTTTGAATTAGTGACCTGGTCAGAGACAGTTTAAAGAAGTTTCATCTGTGACCAGGACTGAACTACATGGCCCTTGTGTATGTCATTCCCTGCTGCACAAGATTATCCTTCATTATTTCCATTCTTCCATACACTGAGAAATTAAAAATATGACAGAGAAGAGGCATTTGTTCCTTGCCCCTTCTTCCCAATGGAATGAGACTAATCTAACCCAGGACCTGACAAATATCTTCTGCGGCTTTGACATTGCTTTCAGCTCTTGAATTCAGCTATACTAAGACTTTGTGCAAGGATGCAGCCTTTAAACTGCTACAAATCAATCCCAGCTTCAGTGATCCTTTCCCTCCATGAATGAAACACAGTCCATCATGGATATTGTCTCAGTTCTTCCCTGATAATATCTCTCCCCATGGGTCACTCTCACCAAAACTATCCTCCCAGGCTAAACACTTATGCAGCATGGGATGTATGGCTGGTTTTGTTCATCCTAGCAACCACTTACAGTGGCCTATACCAATCCACCCTTCACAAATGTTGAAACTTAACTGTAAATTCTATATCTCTAGTAAAACTTCCTTCTGCAAAACTTATGTGTTAAGCAAGAGCTTATCACTCACAACCAACAAAACCATCCCAAAAGTAGAAGGATTTGACAACAATGGATCTGCAGGGCATCCCATTATCAAACATTATGCCTTTGCTATCTCATGTTATTGGACATGTTAAGCATTACTTACACCAAGATTGACAGCAATGATTAAATTATCATGAGACGGACTAGAGAGTTTCTCAGTAATTGCATTAGTTTGCTTTGGTTGCAAAAAGACAATTCCTGACTTCTGCGCCAATGAATTCTGTCTGTGACCTTGGGATTACAGTCAACATTACTTTGGTCAAAGGACTCAGCTGATCTTTGAACGATTAGTAAGTGCTTTCTTGAGACAGTGTTGAGAAAGTATTATGGTGCCTAAAAGAAACAATTTGATTCAAGTCCACTATGCAAAAATTATGATAGAGGGAATCATCAAGACATGTGTCCTGACATAAAAGAAATAAAAGGTACTGGCAAATAGAAATGATGTGCTCATATCTGCTTAGGAGTCGTCAATCAGATGTAAAGGGTTTTGGTGATTGGTGTGATGAGACGGTGGCGCAAAGGTCATTAAAAAGGTTGAGGTCAAATATGAAAACTTGCATTTTTCAGCAACTGTCACTGAATGTCTGGGAAAGCACTGAGCACCTAGTTAGTTGAGTGTGATGGGTGATTTTTTGTCTCAGACATGTTCAATGGACAAAGGTCAGGCACGAGTGCAACAATATCCTGACATGAAATGCTGCATGGTCAATGAAGTAAGTTTCTTTATGATTAAACATGTTCAATTAAGGTGCTGTGACCATTTCAAGAAAGCCTTATATGTTTGCTGAAAAATGTGACAGTGGTAAATCAAGCATACAAGGTTGTGTTTGGGTACTTGATTTCTTTAAAGATGTTCTTACTTACTTTGTTTGACACTTAAGTTTGTTCACCTTAAAACAAAGCATCGTCTACTTTTTGTCTAAGTATGTAATGATTTGATATCTCAGAGCCTAAATATCTGATACTTGGTCTAAAGGGTTCTTGATTCTCTGACCATGCAAACAAGCATTTGAAGCTGCATATCAGATTTCTTACATGTGCTCACATGGAGGGTTTATCATGTGTCAACAAAGAGAGGTTTCAATTCAGAGGAGAAAAATCTAATTTTTATGAAATTATTAAAAATAAAGCTTAATGCATGATTTAAGCTGAACTCATTACAGAACTTACTACGCTACATTATAGTTCGCAAGCTTGACATAGAAGGAAAGTTGGAAATGTAATGCACCATTTAAGTGAAACCCAACAACATTGGTATTTAGCTTGTAAACCAAAGAAACAAAAATATAAATGAGGTTGAATTACTGACTGACTGACTGAGTTTGGTTTTACACAGCTTTTAGAAATATTCCAGCAACATCACGGCAGGGGACACCAGAAATGGGATTCACACATTGTACCCATGTGGGGATTCGAACCCGGGTTTTTGGCGTGACGAGCCAACGCTTTAACCACTAGGCTACCCCACCGACCAAGGTTGAATTAGAGATTAATGGTCTCAAAGGGCATGCTCAGCTCTTTTAGAGTAACAATGAGCTAATATTTGTCATGCATTTTCTTTCCAATGTTGACATCATATTTAGTTCAAATCATTATGACTTTTTCAGATGCACTTTTGTAACAAATATTCCAAGAAAGAAACTTCAGACAGGTCCAAAATCATACAATCAAGAAAACCTATACATTGAGCTAAGAGTTCTCATGACGGTGAATATTTTCAAAAAGATTACGCTTTGTACAAACTGGCAGACTAATATAATTGGTATTTCATATGAAAATTTGGACTGAAACAAACTGGGTCATAATTTTGGTGGGAACAAGCATTAAAACTTCATTGGTGAAGTGTTTTCTGAGGGAATACTGTTTACAGTTTTCCCAGAATTTATTGGGAAAATCCTTGTTTCCTTATACTGATAACATAATTTTAAAATAGGTGTTACATTACATAGTAAATTACTCAATATGGGAGGCAACTCTTGTAGGCTTAAGAATGAACCTTACCACATCAAGAGTTATCTCCCCTGGTGTAGCAGACGACTTCCTTTGTTGACATGGCAGATTTGACAGCAGAAAAAAAAGGAAGCTGGTTCTAGATGATTTTGAAAGGGTGTGATTGATGCAGAAGAGTTAGCTGGTGGACATGACATTCCTCTGTCGATAGTATACAGAACTTTGAAGAATATACAGTCAGGAGTTGGGACTGAGTACAAGACAGGGGCAGGGAGGCCAAGGAAGATCAGTACTATGGATCGCTGGTGACTTGGTCAGATTGCGAGTAGGTTAACAACTGAAAATCATTGAGAATATCAGAAATGAGATTATTAGAGGAAGTCCTCAGGTATGTAATGAAATCTTAGACAAGAGTTACAAAGACTTAACAGGGTGAAAAGTGCAGAATTTCCTTACCACTGATGAAAGATGCACAAAAATAAAGATGTTTAAGGCTCACAAAAATCAAGATTGGGATAATGTTTTCTTTTCAGATGAAAGTTCTGTCTGGCTTTTCTGTGTGAAAATTTGGACAAAAGATACCATGAAAGCTATCTACCAATGCCCAAAACGAACCCAGAAATTTCACATGTGGGGTGGTATATCATCACATGGAGTGACGCTGTTGGATATTTTCACTGGATATATGATGAATGAATGATATGTTGACATCTTAAATGATCACCTCATTCCAACGGCTCAAACACTGTATGAAGATAATTGGGTTTTCCAGCATGATAACAACCCAAAACACACTGCAGGCTACTAGAAACAGTGGTTGTCAAATGAAAATGTTCAAGATTTAGACTGGCCCAGCTACAGCCCAGATCTTAACCCTATTGAGAATGTGTGGGGGACTAAAGGAGGACAGAATAAACCAAAAAGGACTTAGAAATATTGAGGATATGAAGAAAGAAGTGGTTGAATATATGCTGTCACACGATTTCCTACAAACTTCGATTGTGGCACATTCAGTCATGTATTGCAGGGCAAGGAGGTCCCACATAAGACACTTAGACTGTAAGAGAACGTTTCCTCAACATATTCATTTAAGTAAAACTACTAGTTTATATACATGTATTAGATATTTGCCAAAACAATTTCTCAATCATTTCTGGGAATACTATACAGTGCAAGGAAATACATTTTGAGAGAATTTAGAGCATTGTCAAAATGTGATGTCATTATTGAGATATGTAAAATATAAACCATTGTATGCTAACCTCAGCTTTGAGTTTCTTCACCTCTGCTGCCAGTTCCTCAGTCTGCTGAACATAGTGCCACTTGGCCTGCCTTTCACTGTCAAGAATCTGTAGAAGGTGCAAGTGTTTCTGCTCCAGTTCTTCTTTCTGCTCCAACACCTTGCCATAGCTGAATTATCATGAATTAAATGTTCTGTTCAATATCTTGTTTGTGAACATAAACTACCAGGCAAAAGAAAGTTATCACCGATTTTTTCACCAAAAGATAGAAACAAAGATGTATGTGAGATTTATGATAATTACTTTATAAACAGAAATCATTTTCCAACATTTTTGACTGAAAATTAATTGTAATGCTGGTCTTGCATTTGCTGCAGTTCATTAAGAAAGAGTCCAGGGGTCAAAACTTCAAAATTACGCAAATCAGAGTTAATTAAAATGAAGAGTCACATAATGCGACAGAAGCCTGGGGACACGTCACCAAGTGTGACCATTCTGGGCATCCATACACGCCAACACATGTCTCCTCATTGATGCTGTCAGTCAGCAGATTACGTCAGCAGGAATCCTGATCCATGAGTCCAAGAGTGTCTGTTCAAGTTCTTGTTGGTTTGCTGGGGGTGGTACATACAGTCTCAAATGATGATCAAGATGAGCCCAGAGATGTTTCATGGGGTTCATGTCTGGAGAATGAGCTGGCCAAGGCAATATGTTGGCGTTAACATTGTGCAGGTATTCTTGCGATGTCATGCTGCAAAACGACTCCTCTTAGCTGTTGTCGAATATAGGGCACAACAAAAGGTATCAACACTTCATCTTTGTATCGCTGGGCATTCAGATTTCCTTGGATGATAACCAGTCTTGTTCTCTGGCCACAAATTTCCGCCAAATTTCCATGACGTCTCCTTTATCGATCAAATGAAGTTCTTGAATGCAGTTTGGAGCCAGTCGTTCTCCCCCATGTCGAAAAACTTGTACTCTGCAATTGTTTCTGAACAAACTGAACCGAAACTGTCACCAACTGTTGTACGTTCGTGCTGATTGCAGTCTGCTTTGATGGTTTAGACAGACGGTAGGCTTGTATACCAGCCATATCAAGTCATCTAAGGACTGTTCATCTGCTGATGGCACGTCTTAGTGCTGTCACTGCCATTAACGTCACAGTCACGCATTTGTTCCACAGGTGGATCTGCCAGATGTAGCATTCTTCAGCGCAGTGTCATGACTCTTGGTCTTCACAATTTTGGGCTGTCTTGGGTTTGGCCTGTTTGCTAGTAGCAGTTTATCAATTTGCTGATGGTGGCTGATGGTGGCTGATGGTGGCTGAAGGTTCTAGCCAGCTGACATTCTGAAGAACCATGTTGGCCATATCGATCGCCCTGTCTTTTTGGGCCTGTATATGTCTTGGCATATTCGTGGGTTTTTTTTTTGGTTACTGCATGCTTACTCTGTTCAACATCGGTATTTAAGCCACAATCTTGCACATGCATTTGGACCAATGTCCCAAAATTATTTTGAAAAATGCATGATTCGTACAAAGCTGTGTTGTTATCGGGACCATGTTGGGTTTTGGCAAATGTTTTCTGCTTGGGTTAAAACCTGTACCAGTGTTTTTGTTTTTTATACAATTACTTAAAAAGTGATAACTTTCTTTTGCCCGGTAGTTCATGTTTATCAAGTTCAACTAAAATCTCTTCTTTTCTGTAAAGTGTGGTGAAACACCTCTAATTATCCTGGATAGCTTTTGAGGTGATTTTCATGAGTTGACATTTATCAAAGAAAGGAATGACTGTCTCATGTGACATGTCACTTTTTGGCCTTGGTTATTCTGCAGAATTAGAAAGGTGTTTGCATTACTTGGAAAAAGCAGAAGCAAGCCCATTCTGGCGGTTATGAATCATTTACACCTCACACATGCTTAATGTGTCCTATAAATCTTCGGGGACCCATATTGCGATATATTGGAGAACTTACGTGTTTGACAGTGAGTGACAGTGAGTGACTTTAATTGTACATGTCGATCCTATTTTCTACATCATAAGTCTCTGAACATATATGTTATGGTTCTGGAGATGATAGGATACCCAGGACGTTTTTAACTACAGTCCGTTTGAGTCAGAAACGGGCCAATGAATTGCAAATTTTATCATTGTACAAAATTGCCACATAAATATAAATAGTACACGTTTATCATTGACTAGTACCCAACAGCTTTCTTATATTTGAAAATTTTCCGGACTCCACCAAAAAAGTTGTTTAAGAAACTATCATCATTGAAAACTCAAAAGTTGTTATCTGTCGCGGCGGGGTGAAACCGCAGAAACGGAACAGCCACTATCTCGTCGTGCACGGGATACACATGCCTGATGAAAAATGAAGTTGAATGCTGACGGGAAACAGTTGATGATTAAAGTGTATGATTTTTTCCGTGCTGAAGCCGAAAGGGGCAAACCATTTTATGCCATTAACATATTCCGTAAGCGGGCAGCAAAAGCTTTAGGAGTATCAGCAAGGGTACTGACAAATGTTCTGGAACACAAACATTGTGAGGGTGATGCGAAGCAGGTATGGGTCGTGTCAAAATCACACAAATTAAAACATTTGGACAACTTTCAAAAGAACCTTGTAAGGCAGTCTATCAACAAGCTCTATTCTGAAAACAAATACATGTTGCTGAAAATTTTAAAAAAGCATTTGAAGCAAGAACACAACCTCAGAGTATCAAAGTACACACTCTGGCCTTCTTACACTCTTTCGGGTATCGTTATAAGAAAATTTCGGGGGAGAATAGGTCAGTACTCTGTGAACACCCTGATATCGTTCAGCTGCCAGCAGTCAGTGGGTACCCGATGGGGATGATAAGGGGTCACGTAGAAAGCTGCCTCTAGGGAATGGAGAGAGACTAATCATTCTCCATGCTGGTTGCTCCAGCAAAGGCTTTCTCCCTGGCTGCGACTTGGTATTCAGGGCAAAGTCCACAGATAACAGACTACCCTCCGAGATGAATGGTGCGGTTTTCCTCGATTGGGTTAAAAACAAGTTGGTACCAGCTCTACCAGAGAAGTCTTTTATCGTAATGGACAATGCCCCATACCACAGCGTGCAGGACCCCGACAGTAAAGCCACGACATTGAACAGTCGAAAAGGTGATATGATATCATGGCTCGACAAATTTCAGATCGCACGGCCTTCAAAGGCAACGAAGCCTCAGCTATATGAGATCATAAAACCCCACAAAGGTGAACCTTTCTACAAAGTTGACAGTTACATAAAAAGTAAGGGTCACGATTTTCTGCGACTTCCACCCTATCACTGTGACCTTAACCCCATTGAAATGATATGGGTATGGTCAAAGGAGAGAGTTGCCAGATCAAACACAACTTTTAGATTACGTGACAGAGGTTTTGGTTAAGGAATCCCTTAACAAAATCACGACTGAAACTTGGCAAAACTGTGTCAACAAGGTAGCTAACGTCATTGAACAAGGTTACTGGTCTCAGGATGGCTTACAACAGGCAACTGTGTCACCACTTGTCATCCCTTTAAGTCGTGACTATGACACTACGACAGACGAGGAACTGACAGGTCTCCAGGAAAAGGTTTTGAGATGTCCCCCGCCATGACTGGCTGTTCCGTTTCTGCGGTTTCATCCCCGCCGCGACAGATAACAACTTTTGAGTTTTCAATGATGATAGTTTCTTAAACAACTTTTGGGAGGAGTCCGAAAATTTTCAAATATAAGAAAGCTGTTGGGTATTAGTCAATGATAAACATGTGTACTATTTATATTTATGTGGCAATTTTGTACAATGATAAAATTTGCAATTCATTGGTCCGTTTCTGACTCAAACGGACTGTACCATCGGATCTCATTGCAAGATACTTAGTTATTGTTTAATAAGATTCTAGAAACAGAATGTAGCATGTGAACTAAGCAGAAATACTCAGCCATGTCGTTTCTGTTCGAAACCCACACAATTCATATCAAGTGCGTTTAACTCTGAAATACAAGCCACAGTAGCTAATGCTACTAGAAAGTTTTACATGTTATTTGTTCAAACTCCTTATCATTTAGCGGCTCATAATCACTGGATACCAAGTGATGAAAGACAACTGACAAATCCCATGCAGGAGGTCTAAACCTCCTAGACTGGTCAGCAAGTCTGAACGAATGAAGCAGATACTGGAGCTCAGGAGTAGTAGACACCTTGGTTCCAGCAGTATTGGCTACAACCGAATTAATGGCAGCCAGGTAGTTTGACAATGTAGTACCTTTGTGTTTTTTTGTAGCCCATAAATGCTATAGAAATTCCTCAACAACCTGAGTTGATGCAGTGGTGGGAGAATTAATTCTCTTAATTTCACAGTACAGTTCAAATTTCTTCCATTTATCGTCTTACAACGGTTGGGTCGATGTCCAGTGTGCAGATGTTATAGCTGTAGTTACTCTATGAGAGTAACCCTTGGCTATCAGTGATTTCTGTAAATGCACCAGACGTGCAATTCAGGGTTTGTGATGACCCGTGGTACACGTCTGAATGTGGATGACGAAGTAGGTCATTTCAGGCGGGTAGCGGTTCTGGATTCGGTTCTGCTAGCTTTTTTGTGCTGACGAACCAGCTTCTTGCTGGCCAAAAGGGCACAACCAAAAGTAGACGAATCTTGCTGGTCGCAAGTAACTTTGAACTACTTTGGGTAGTAGAGCCGGGGGAGGAAATGCGTAAGCATTTAGACCCTTCCATGATGGGTCCCAGGATTGGGGACATGAACTGCGGGAGCTGATGGTTGTACCGAGTGGCGAATAGATCTATGTCTGGTTGTGATAACAGGTAGATCATCGATTGGAATATCAGGGACAGTAACTTCCACTCTGTTGGTGACGATCATTTTGGATGTGACAGGGCATCGGCCATGACATTTCTCGGCCCAGGAATGTGTCGAGCGCTGGCCATTATGTTGAGTGAATTGATTAGATGATAAAATCAAAACGTCTACTGAAGCAGAGCTGCAGAGCCTGTCGAGCCAAGAATTGTGTGATTGAATCAGTAGATGGGACGACCATAGTTTTGCCGCCCAAATGCTGAATGGCGAGAATGACAGCACTGAATTCCAACTCATTGATGTGAAGGACCTTTTCTGATGACCACTGTCCGGCCACTTGATGATGAA